GTCAAACTTGTAAAAACCACAGAGTAAAATGGTGGTTATCAGGGGATGGAGCATAGAGACATAAGACTGATGTTAAGGTTACAATCTTGCAATGAGTAGTAAATAACCTATAGAGATCTAATCACAGTATAGTGAATATAGACAATAATATTGCACTACAATCATAAATGTGCTAAAAGACTAAAATTTAATTATTCCAACCACTAAAAAGAAGGGACAATATGGAATGTGATAGAGGTGCCAAATATTGTTATAATGACAACCATAATATATAAATGCATCAAATTAACACATTGTACAACTCAAATTCACAGCACATGTCAAATATATTCAATTAAAAAACTCATCAGAGGCTTGAATGCAAACTAAAAACTATAAAACTTAAATGGGAGAAAATCCGTTTTGTAACCCTAGGTTAAGCAAAGGTTTCTAGATATGACAGCAGTAGAATGTTATGTAAATTAATACATTGGACTTCATCAAAATTATAAACATTTACCCTTCAAAAGACTCTGTTAAGAGGATGAAGAGACAAACCACAAACTGGGAAAAATATCTGCAAAGCATATATCTGAAATAGGACTTATACCCATAATATAGTTTTTAAAAAACTCTCAGGGCCAGCCGAGTGGCGCAATGGTTAAGAACTGGCTTGCAACGCCAGAGGGCCCCGGTTCGGATCCCACAAATGAGGGCCAGTGACACTGCCCTCCACAGCTAAGATGCTGAATAACAGCTCAACCTGGAGCTGGGCTGCCCTGAGTCGCCGGCAATGGCGTAGGCTGCAGCCCCTGTGGCAGTGGGTTGCCATGGGCTACCATATGTAGCCAGCAGCCAGCGTGAGTGGCCAGCAGCCGCAGTGAGCGGCCATCCAGAAGCCGGTGACTGATCTGCCTCGCCCGGGAAGAGCGCAATGATGGTGCCAACTTGGGCCAGTGAAGCAACATCCTCCACAACTAGACTGAAGAACAAAAGGACAGCAACTTGTCTGTTCCCCTTCCCCCAATTCCCCAGCATTATTCCCATCCCCCAAATTCCCCAATAAAAATCTTCAAAAAAAAACCAAAACCTCTCAAAACTCAATAGTAAGAAAACAAATAAGCCAATTTACAATTTGGACAAACAACATAAAGACGCTTCACCAAAGAAGATATATGGATGGCAAATAGCACTTGAAAAGATGTTCAACATCAGAAATCATTAGTGAAATGCAAATGAAAGTCACAATGAGATACCATAACACATCTACAGAAAGACTAACATTTAAAAGATTAACAATAACAAGTATTGGTGGGGTTTTACAGAAAGCTGAACTCTTACACAGTGCTAGTGGGAATATAATATGATGCAGTCAGTCTGGGAAAACGTTTGGTAGTTTTTCAAACAGGTAAACATATACCTACCATTTGATTTAGCCATTTAATTTCTAGGTATTTACCCAAGAGAAATGAAAGTATATGTCCATACAAGGACCTGCACACGAATGTTCCCAGTAGCTTTATTGTAATAACCCAAAACTGGAAGTAATCCAAGTGTTCAACAACGAGTGAATGGATAAACAAACAGTGGTATAGCAATACAATGGAATACTACTGAGCAATAAAAAGAAATGAACTACTGATACATGCAACAATATAGGTGAATCTCAAAATTATTATGCCTAGTGAAAGAAGCCATACCCTCACACCCCTAAAAAAGTACATGATTAGATTTTAATAAAATTGTAGGACATTTATTTATTTATTATTAGTTTCAAGTGTACAAAACAATGCACAAAGTGACAATCCCCCTCCCATCATTCACTGCCCTGCCACCCCCGATATCATACATATCTATTACAATTCCACTGACTCCATTCTTACACTCTACTCCACATCCCGTGACTATATGTATATATAATTATAGTTGACATACAATATTATTCAACATCAGTTTCAGAAATACAGTGCGGTGGTCAGGCCTCTACACTGTCTATGAAGTGGTCTCCCTAACAAGACATGAGTCCATCTGGCCCCCTAAAAAATATTTACAACATTATTGATTATATTCCCCAGACTGTCTTTTCTCTCTCTGAGGCCATATTGTAGTTGCCAATTTATGTTGTCTTGTCCCTTCCCCTTCTCCCTCATCCCCACCCCCGTCCCATCTAGTAATCATCAGTTTTTCCTCTGTGTCTCTGAGACTAAAATTGTAGGACATTTAAACAAATCTACAGTGACAGAAAACAGATCACTGCCTGCCAGGGACAGGATAAGGGAGGGCTGGAGAGAATTATATAAAGAGTTAAGAGGAAACTTCTGGGGTTGGTGCATGTGTTCATTATCTTGATTGTGGTGATGGTTTCATGGTTGTATTCATATATCAAAATGTATCAAGTTGTACATTTTAAATGAGTGCAATTTATTGTATGATAATTATACCTCAATGAAACTATTATAAAACAAAACAAAAACAAATGACCCTAAGGATTTTAGCCCAAGCTGCCCAAAAGAACTGAATTTCCAAAAATGAGATGAGAAGACTACAAAATAATCCAACTGTGGAGAAAATGGAAATTCAATATTCAAAATGTTGGCTTTACTTAGACATTTTGCCGAAAATGTGTATTAGATATGCAAGTTCAAATATCAACTAGGCAACAGGACATACAAGCTTAGAGTTCAGAAAAGAAGTCTGAGATGATGATATAAATTTGGTAGTCTCTGGCATGCAGAAAGAATACTTAAAGTCAGCTGTGCTTGAATGAAGCAGATAGTGCTTAATAAAAATTAGTGGAATGATATAAGTTCTAAGTACTTTATATTAACTTATCCTAACAAAAAGCCTTATGAAGTAGGAATTATCTCCATCTTATAGATGAAGAAGTTAAGGTATAGGAAAATGAGTCCCTAGGTGGGAAAAAACATAGGTCACACATCCCCAGACTATTAACTAATAAAACAAAGTAGTCAAAGATTTAATAAACCTAGAAACAAATTCCCAAAATCCATTCATTGACATATTAGTAACATTTATATACATTACAACCAATGTAATCAACAAGTCAAAAAAGATTAAAATCAGTGCTACCCAAGTACTATATTTGTGTCATTTTAAAACTTCTAGCAGGAAAAAAGGGGGACATTTTAAACTGGTTACTTCAGCTGACATAGAAACTGACGGACACAGAAGTTTAATGAGGAAGAACTTGAACTGGGATCAAACAGATGTAGAAACTATATTATAGTCTACTAGAGGCAAAAAAGAAAGTTCTGTATTGACATTTAAAGAAATGAACTAGTAGGTAAAACATCAAGTTCCTACTCTAGGCAAATGTCATTTAAATTTCAAGGAAATACGTTCCTTGAATTTTAATTCTAACCTTTTAAAAAAAGAATAAGAAAACTCGGAAAGGTTAAAATACTACATCAAACACTATAATAAAGGATATAAATTGGAGACATGAAAGGCCATCTTTTGTTTAAAAAAATTGCTATATTGAGACTGCCTCATTCAGGCATATTGAAAGGCTAATACAGGACTTTTTATAGTTTTTTTTTTCCATTAAATACTATTATTCTGCCCACTGAAGTTCATTATAAACTATAATAATTAACAAATCTAATTACCTTGACTTATATAAAATCTTGTCTTATTGAAGATCTTTAACACTGCCTCAACAAATATGTTCAATTTTATTCCAGTTCTCTGTATCTTACTGCATTAAATAAAAAATAAAGACAATAAACGGTTTAATAACTTTTTTCAAAGCCTTTCATCTAGAATTGTTCACTGGCATACGAACTTCATTCAACTCCTTACCAAGAAAAAAGGAAAAAAATAAAAATAAGATCAACAAGCATGTCACACATCCTTTAGTGTCCTGTTAAAAAGAGGGAAAGGTCTCTGTAACCCAAGTTGAACAAAGTAGTAAGTACATCACCAACAAACTGGACATTCTAATTTTTGTTTAGAAAGGCTGAGTTACAGTCATCTTAAACATGTTTGAGGAGGTTGAAGGAACCAATACATTTTAATAATTACCTGCTTAGAATCCAGGAAGGAAACCTACAGTTTTCCAAAAATGCATTTGAATTCCAAAAAGAGTGTATGAGGACTCCAAGAGTGTCACTAACTATATGAGATGACCAGTTTTCAATGAAATTAAACATTGAAAAGTTCAATAAATAGCAAATATCAACATCTACTCACTTGATACTATTTATCATCAACTTCTGAGAATTCTATGTCCAATTTGTTCCATTTTGCGCCATTCTTACTACTTTATTTCAGGTCACTGTCAGCAACTGCCTAAATCATTGCAGCACCCTCTTAACCTACACTTAATGTACCCAATCCATCCTCCACACAGTAGCCAGAACTAACTACAAAGATAAACTTCAAACTTCTAAAAGGGGCTTTATAAGGCCCTTTATGATCTGATCTCATGTTTTCCTGTCTTCATCCTTTACCACTGCTATACATACACCCTCCCAATATACCAACACCAAGAATGTGTGTTTTCCCATATACACACACTAGACCTCACCCACTTCAGCTCTCTGCAGGCCCCAGGCCCCCAAAGCAACAGTTGCCTTTAAAGCTTCTGCATGTACTACTTTCTAAATGGATTGTTTTCCCCTCCTATCTCCTTTTTTCTGACTCACTCATCCTGACGTCTCATTTAAAATGCTGTGTTCTCTGTAATACCTTCTTTATCTAACTCCTTTCCTCCTAACCCCTTTTGATGAGTCACAACACCCCCATTTAGCCTTCTCCTAGCAATTCTCACTCTGAATCGTAATTGTCTATTCACCTCACTTGCTGTCGTAATATAACATAAGCTATGCAAGGGTAGGGGATGGTGTCTTATTCATTATTGTGTCCTCAGCATCTAGCACAATACCTGACCCACAACAGAAACTGAACAAACTCATTCAGCGAACGTGTCGTAAAAGGTATTTCATTCACTGAGTAGACACATAGCAGTTTTGAAAATCTTAATTAAAGAAATAACATACCTGTCTTTCCAACTCTTGTCCTGTTATACCAGCCTCTACATGAGCTGTCAGATTGTTCTCATCAACCCAGATGATCCGATTCTGTTGCAAAGGAAGAAAAAAGTTTCATCTCCATGAACTATTAACATTTTCTCAAGAAATATAATTTCCTAATTCAAAGCAACAAGTGACAAGAGAGTAATTGAGCAAGTAGGGTTACCAAGACTAGAAAGCTGCACTTGTCCCTGACTATACAACTTGACAGACACAGTCACAAAGGCAGTATATTACACAGGAGTTGATCTAAAACATAGATTCTGTCCGTACTCAGATATTAATTCAAATTAAACTCTACCTCTACCTTAGGCAAATTATTTAACGGTCTACACTTAGTGTTTCCGCATTTGTAAAGTGTGGATAGTAATACCTACACACGGGGTTGCTGTAAAAACTAAATGAGGTACTACACACAAAAAGCTCAGCATACACAGTTTTGGACATTCTGCAAATACTATCTGCACTACTGTTAATAATTAGCAATCATGTCTAATTTAGGAATATCAGAAGATGGACACCATGAGATTAGAAAAAGACACCTGCAAAGACATTTGAATATACTGGGTCGTCGGGAAATTCATGACGTATTTTTCTATGTTTTTCAATGCAAAACAATGGGGGGACAACCCATCCCTGCCTTACTTTTTTTTTTTTTTTTAAGATTTTTATTGGGGAATTGGGGGATGGGAACAGCGCTGGGGAATTGGGGAAGGGGAACAGACAAGTTGTTGTCGTTTTGGTCTTCAGTCTAGTTGTGGAGGACGTTGCTTCATGGCCCAAATTGGCACCATCATTGAGCTTTTCCTGGGCGAGGCAGATCAGTCGCTGGCTTCTGGACGGCCGCTCACTGCGGCTGCTGGCCGCTCACGCTGTCTGCTGGCTACACACGGTAGCCCATGGCAACCCACTGCAGCAGAGGCTGCAGCCTACGTCGTCGCCGGTGACTCACACCTGCCTTACTTTTAATCCAAAATAGGACCAGAGAACCCAGGCAGAAGACAAAGCACAATCCTGCCTCCAGCTGAAAAGAAAATGAATATCATCTGGCTCAATTTAACAAATGTATAACTGTCAAAAAAGTGTTTTTAACATTCTTATTTGACCTAATTTACATATATATGAATCTTGATGAATTACATTGTATTATTAAAAGCAGACTTCTTTCCCCTTCTATTTACCAGTCAGATAACATATAGAATCTTCTTCTGGGTCCCAGAGAACTTTTCTTTGCACTTTGATATGTTCAATTTCATTGCAATAAGTAATGCAGATAAGTCTCGTTAATAATAAAAAGGAAAAAATGCTGTAGATAATAAGAAAGTAACAGCCTAACTGTATTCCAAATTTGAACACATACAAATAACTTCACTGCTTAATTCATAGGGCTATGATAAACATTAAATATGATGCTGTATGCAAATGTACTTTTTGTTTTATGTTATATAAAACTATCATTATAATTATACTCTCAAAATAAGACAATAGTAATTTCAATATAACTATGGTAAAATCAGGCTTTTGGTCTTATAGTAACTAAGCAAAAGGAATTATTAAACTGTAAAATGAAAAAATTCAGTAATCTGATAGTACCTTATATTATAGTAATTTATATATATGTATATATGTATACATATGTATATGTGTGTATATATATCTTCTCCCCCAGTAGACTGGTTCTTGAGGCAACTACACAGTTTTGCTAATTATACACCTTGTATCTACCAGGGGTCCAAACAAATTTTTGGTAGAGCAAAGAAATTAAAGGAGACAGAAAAAAAACACCTATGGCCACTCACAGAGAAACCTTAAGAAAATATATTGGCTACCCTGTTACATACACTATACACTACCCTACACAAGTTAACAACAAAACAAAAACCTTTAAGGCCGACAAGTCTTAGTATTATCATATATACTTAAGTAGAAAACTGACACAACTAGCTGCTGTCATATTTTGCACATAATATATCAGAAGGACACTGTGCAGTATCCTGCACAGATATAGCTTACGGACTTCAATGCAAATCACAATTATAAGGACAACTCATCCATTACAATATTTCAGAGAGCTGAATGTGGCAGTGAACATGTAAGGTTTTTCTACAAAATAAATGGTTAAAAAGATGGCATTTAAAATTCTGCCATGGAATTTTAATCTCTACTCAATGTAAAGACTTTTACTTCTCTCATTTAATCTTCACAATAACCTTCTGCAGTATTACTGTCTCCATTTTACATATTCAGTAACAGATTTAGAGGTAAATCTGTACATAGTAGGCTAAAGAGCCAGAAATCGAAATACATTCCCATTCCTATTCCAGAATAGGCTACTTTTAAGATATCCTCGAAGGAAACTGCCTTTTCTTAAACTCTGAGGTAAAAACAAAGATCGATGGGTCACTTTTCAGTAGAATAATCAGGCTGTCGCTATCTGAACTTGCAGATCAATTTCAGTAACACTAAAAGTGGACAGCTATAATGTACCTCCTGATGCCATGTGACATGGAAAAACACATCATCATATATGAGATATACTTGCTTAAAAATATATTAAAAGCTATGCCTGATTCTACCTAGATTTTCTATCTAACTTCAGGTTTAGAGGACAAACAGGGCCTAGAGGAAGAGTTAAATTACACCAAGAAGAAGCAACAGGCAAATTCAAATTATGACATATTCTAGGCTACAAATAACCGCGTTTCTCCAAGTCAGTAGCATTCAAAAAAGGAAAGCAGGGCTTCAGATAAAATGAGACTTAAGGAATCAACCAAAAGCTAACATGGGCCTTGTCTGAATCCCCATTTGAACAAATGAACTGTAAAATAAAGACAATTCTGAGACAACTAGAAAATTCCAACGTGGACTGGATATTAAATGATAGAAGGATTTACTTCTAACTTTGCTAGGAGTGATAATAATATAGTGAGAAAAAGTTCTTTCTAAAAACAATAACACAGAAATATCTAGGTGTAAAGTATATTAGGGCTGGCTTTAAAAATAGTACAGAAAAAAGATAAGGCCAATATGGCAAAATGTTAATTATTTAATCTAGAGAATGAATATATTATTCTCTCTACTTTGGTGTTTGAAAAAATTTCAAATAAAATAGTTACAAAAAAATTCTTTTATTTGTAATAGAGGAATATGTAACGAGGAATACTGTTGACTATATGAAGGTTGTGTTCATACCCAAATTAAAACTTGTATGTCACAATGTCCAACTCTTGGACCGCAATGAGCCAAAACTTAAAAAACGAATCCTATCATTAAAATTTGCTCCTCTATTCTTCCACAAGCAAAATGCAAAAGCATTGGTAAAAATTTGGGGGACAAGTAAATTTGGGTGATTCAAATTATGCTTAACTAATATTATTTGTTTTGTAACGCCACAAATCAGATCAAGAATTGTATCAATATTCCAATCCATTCTTCTCAAATCATCAATTTCACATGTCAATTTGGTAGAATCCATCAAGATATATATATACCTTAGAGCAAGAGTTAGATTAGCTTTTGGAGACCTGAACACAAGGGCAAAAACATAACGATAAAATTAACTTAAAACAAAATGGACAATATGCCCTTTTGTAATTACAATTAAAAAAGAGCCAGAAAGACACTTTTTAAACCAAACACTATATTCAAATACATCTTAAATGATCATATACCATTTGTGAAGTATCCAAAGAAATAATTGTTCTTGTTTCATCTTCAGGACACATCAGGCCATATGAGACACTTGTTCCTCCTGCCAAAACAGGAAACAACTTTATGTTTAAATATTTTATTTTTAGTTACATATCCAGGGCAAATCCCTAATACAAACTATACAGGTAGGCCTGCTAAAAAAGTAATACCTATTTCTACTTTGCAAAATGTAATTTGTAAATGCTAACTCACTAAAAGCAAACACCTTTATTTTATGCTGCATGCCAAAATGAAGAACTATTAGGAGCTAAAAGCAATGGAATATTGCTCCAGCCTCTGGGCACACTCAAGTGAAGTCTCGAGCAATTTGTGAAACTCCAAAAACACGATTAGGAAAGTTCTAAGCTAAAGATTACTGTGGAAAGATAGCTTAAAAGAAAAAAATACCCACCCTATAAAACTAAAGACACCATTACCTCCTTTCTACCATATTATTGTGATTCATTTACCACTTAAAATAATATCTTATATTCTCATACAAAAAGGCTTTAATAAATTAGAACATAAACAAGTTAAAAGTGCCCAGATTATATGATATTCAAAACCAGATTTCTATGTTCTTTGGTTGAAAAAAATGACTTTAAGGTAAAATAAATAATACAGAGAAGTATTTAAACAATATGCTCCTGTTTTCCATTAGCATTTGTGGTCAAAGAAAAATGATTTCTTGAAAACAATACTAAATACAGTGTTCTTAGTTCTTAACCATATCTGTATCATCATACGTCAGAATAAATCCCTAACTGGTACTTCCACAGGTTTTGGACAGAAAACACGTGAAACTCACCTTAATACAGGTAAGACTTATAGGGGGTGCTGATCTATGAGTTTCAGCTTAATGTACAAGGTGAGAACACGGGTTGTCAGTTAAGAACATGCCTGTGCTCAGTAACCACTACTTGCTTGCCACAGTCATTTGAAATCAGGAAAATATTTCATTAAAAGTAGCACTACAGGGCCTTTTTTTTGTATGAATTCAACAGAAAGTATCAGCTGCAGAAGGAATCTGGAGCTTCTGATTTCTTGGGGTCCTATTTCCATTCCATCACTGCCAATTCAGTCTGGCAATTTCCTTCCTTTGGCTTGTGTGGTTGTTAAAACAATGTGGTTGATGAAAGACCAAGAGAGATCAAATTTGTCTTAAAATGCAAAACAATGTCAGTTTTCAGTATGAAAAGATATTATTGATTTGGTCATCAGATCTTTTATGCTGCATTGCATTCCTTCTCAAAGGTTTATGCTGGGTTTATTTAGCCTTTGAAAAATATTCTCTCCACAAGGATAATGGTTAGAAAGTAATTACTGTAGCAGGAACATATTCTTATTTAGGCATTAAAGTCACAGTTTCCACAAGGACCCATACGGGCAAGAAGCCTTTAAGGGTACATCACATCTCAAACAGTTCAGGTCGATCTACTCCAAACAGAAATGAGCAGCATAAACCAACTTTTCAGAATAACCTTTTCATAATTACAAGAATATCTGTTTTCAGTGGGATGGCACAAATATTTAAAATACAAATATTTTTAAACAGAAAGAACAAATTTACATCATATTGAAATTCAAAAGGCACAATACTTACCACCAATTGGTATGATACAAAGGTTATATTTGCATGCTAGATTCACAATCTTAACTACATCATCATGACATGCTGTTGAAAAAAGGGAAAATAAATTAATCACAGGAATGTGAATAAAATCTGGTTAACCTTGCAAAATATGTGTCTTTAAAGTTCTTTAGTGTCTAAACTTTTCCTTCATTTATTTATCCATTAACACACGAAATAGCTATATTAAAACCACTGTTAAATCTGATTTATCTTTTCAACTTTTCATTTTGAAATAATTTCATACTTACAAAATAGTTGCAAAAATGGTACAAATTTCCTTCACTTAGCATCCACAAATACTAACATCCCACATAACTATAGTCCGATTATCACAACCAAATAATTGACACTGATTTAATAATACTATTAACTAATCTATAGACCTCATTCAAATTTTGCCAACTGTTCCACTAATATCCTCTTCTCTGGACCAGGATCACACACTACATGTTGCTAACATGTCTCCTTAGTCTTCTTTAATCTGAGATAGTTTCCCAGTATATCTTTGACTTTCATGACTTTGACACTTTTGAAGAAAATTAGTCAGTTATTTCATAAAATGTCCCTCGATTTGGGTTTGTTTGATGTTTCCTCATGATTAAATTCAGGTTATACAATTCAGCAGGAATCCCACAGAAGTGAAGTTGTGCCTTTCTTAGTGTGTTACATCTGGTGCATGATGTAGACAGACAGCTCTCACTTCTGGTAATGTTACCTTTCATCATGCTGGGTTTCTCCACTCTTAAGATTATTATAATCAATAAGTATCTTGTAGGGCGATACTCAGACTATGTAAATATCATGTTTCTCATCACATTTTTACCCACTAATTTTTGCATCCATTGATGATTCTTTATTCTATTTTTTAAACAGATTATTTAAAATATTATATAATATACTGTATATGAATTCCTTTCTATTGTCCATAACTATTTTGGAGTAAAGGTTATATAAATAACAAACTTTAACTGAGGAAGCCTTTAAATATCAAGCAAGAGGTGCTAAGACTCAATCTGACTAGCAAGAGGGCACTAAGGGGGGGCACTAAGAGTATTTTAGAAAGATCAATCTTACAGAATATGGAAGAGCATGGAGGACAAAAGACTGGAGGTAAGGAAACCATGCAAAAATCTAGTATTATTTGCTAAGGGTTTGAAAAGGAATAAGAATGCAAAGAAAAATACACAAAAGAATATCTATTTATGAATACAAAAATACTGTTCTATAAAAGCTGTAATTATCATTTCTCAAGTTTCCTTAAAGCTAGGACTATGTTATGTTTATTATTCCAAGTTTTAAGGAAAATCCATTTTCAAGCTTTCAGATTAGTTACAAAGCTTACTCTTTGTGGCAAAATTTTTACTAAATAGAATGAATACTAATTCATTCAATAGTAAATAAAATACCCAAAGATGTCTGTTAAAAACCTTTAACAAGGCAAAACTATTTCTAGGACTGTCATCTAATCAGAAGCTACCTTCGGCCATGTTATCTGACACAGCACTTCCTCATCCCACCACCCACCCTATTTTGCTATCTTCTTACTGTGTCTTATTTTTCTTTACAGCTCTTATCACTCACTAATCAATACGTTATGTATTTATTTTTCTGTCTCCTCCCAATTAAACTGACAACTGAGAATAGGGATTTTTGTTTTGTTCACCGCCTATCCTCAATATCTAGAACAGTACCTAGCACATATCTTCACAGACCTAACGTTCTGGTATTTATACCACTGAAAATAATATATAAATACTAAATTAGTATGCAAAATAATTTTTAAAATGTTATTGTGAAAGACTTTAGTTTTACAAGTATACTTACTGCAGACAACATATATTGTATAAGTGGCTAACTATGTGTCCAAACTAAATGAAAAGCAGAGATATCTACACTGTGTAAAGATCACAATGATGACAAATACTGCTTTAAAGAATACTCTAAATCAGAGAAGTTATATAAATTCCAAGTTCTTACTTTTAGACAAGCCCTAGACATACTGTTAAAGCAACATGTAGAAATCAGATTCAGGTTACAGCCAGATTTAAAGACATCCACAATGACAGATTTCCTAAACACGTGTGTGTGTATTATGTATATGGTATATATCTATTCAAACAGCCACCTCCACTCTATGTAATACACATTGTCTCAAATTGCCACATTATGTCAAAACTTGACCTCATACAAAGAAAACCTTGAACTTTATCACTAATAGAAAATTTACATTAAAGCCAAATAAAGGCTTCAGTGAATTGATAGCCTGCTAGGAGACAAACAATTTCCATCAAGTCCTTATACTGGAAGGCTCAACAGAATAAAATTATAAATTTGATTCAGGCACCAATACACTATTCATATAGATTCTTGAGGTATGAAACAAGATGGCAAAGGGAATATTTTAGAAAAATTAAACTTTCAAGAGTGCATGAGAGGCTTGGAGGAACAAAAAACTTGAGGCATGAGAACCTTTAAAGCTATTGCAAAATTTCAGATGTGCATTGACAAGGGCCTCAATTGGAAAATGGAATGGAAAAAGAAAAAAATGGAAGGGTAAATTTGTGAAAGAAGGATTTTACAGCATAAAGAAACTTTTGTTCGGGCCGGCCGAGTGGCGCAATGGTTAAGAGCTGGCTTGGGACGCCAGAGGGCCCCGGTTCGGATCCCACATATGAGGGCCAGTGACACTGCCCTCCACAGCTAAGATGCTGAACAACAGCTCAACCTGGAGCTGGGCTGCTGTGAGTTGCCGGCGACGGCGTAGGCTGCAGCCCCTGTGGCAGTGGATTGCCATGGGCTACTGTGTGTAGCCAGCAGCCAGCGTGAGCGGCCAGCAGCCACAGTGAGCCGCCGTCCAGAAGCCGGCGACTGATCTGCCTCGCCCGGGAAGAGTGCAATGATGGTGCCAACTTGGGCCAGTGAAACAACGTCCTCCACAACTAGACTGAAGAACAAAACGACAGCAACTTGTCTGTTCCCCTTCCCCCAATTCCCCAGCACTGTTCGCATCCCCCAATTCCCCAATAAAAAAATCTTAAAAAAAAAAAAGAAAAGAAAAGAAACTTTTGTTCAACAATTGGCTAACTCCATATGTTTCCAAAATCTGAATTTTCAAAAACATTTGGATTTCTTAAAGTAAGACATATATTCCCATTATGGTAATTCTCTTAGCATTTGAATATTCAAAGACACAAATAAAATACCTAATGGACACAGTTGAAAATTCTACTCAAGATATAGGAAAGAATAGCCTATTAGGTTTCCTATGGGAAATGAAAATTGATAAATTTTGCTTTCTTTTTTTTTTTCAGTAAAATATGGAATTAACCTTCTCTAAATTTTGGTAGAGAAGTAGCCTAAAACTACTAAAAAACAGGCAAGTGAAACAAAAGCATTTCTTCTTTTTCAGTGTATCTTTTCTTTTCTTTTTCAGGAACTGCTAAATTTCTATACTAGACTAACAGAGACAAAAGGCTTCCTTCACACTATTCCAAATACACAGAAAAAATATACATCACAAGTATCAGGAAAGTAATTTCATCTCAGCTACATATGCTCTTGGATTTTCCTCCTAGGTATGTCACCTCCCTCCTACCCCCATATTAAAGTATTTTCCCTCAGGTAATCGCTGCAAAGTAGAAGGATTTCATCTAAGAATTGAATCCATGAATGAGCCAATTTTTTGAAAAACAAAATACACTATATACTCCTTTTATAGAATCTGAAGAGGAAAAAGGATCAGAAGATCAATGAAACTTTTTAAAAAGGTAATTATGGACAATAAGGAATGATATACCTGTTCTGCTTTAAATTTTCTGATAGAAGAGATGAGTAATAAATATAAAGCTATAAAGACTATAGAGATATACAGATATATAGACCATATATATATAAATATATGTAAATATAGAGCATCAGCAAAGCAAAATAACAACAGAAAACTCATCCATCCTCTACCTCAAGCCAAATCCCTAAATGAAGTTAATTTCTCAAAATTTATTTATATGGAAGACAATATGCATATTAAACAACTTGTTTCGCTATCTGAACATCATGCTTTTTTAGCCCACAAGCTGCTATCAACAAATTACTATTATTACTTTCCTATTGCAATTATTTTAAAGAGCTGAATATATCAGATACTAAATTCATTAAGCATCAAATTAACCAAAAATACATTTTTCTACTGACTTCCCGATATTTATTTATTTAAAATTAAGACTTAATTATCAATAACAAAATCAATCGTTAAAATCAACAGTTCAGGATGATCAGATCAAGAAAGAATTATATAACTTAGCAAAACTGTTTAAAAATACAGCTACCTATATTTTTTATAACTCATGTTGAAAACTACATATTTCCAATACTAAATTTAACAGTCGTTTACTTAATTTGACGATTAATTTACTTAATTTAACAACATTAAATTAAGTATACAAAGAAAAAAAGAACTTACTTGGCCATAAAACTATATCAGGAATTCGTTGAAATATTCCTTCCCTGAGCAAAAATATCTCATGAAGACAATGACCTGTTTTTGGTTTCAAAAAGAAAATGCAAAAACATCTTAAATTACATGAAATTTTAAAATTAAAAATAAATACCATTTATATAAAATTGCTTACCATGAGCTCTAAATACTCGATCATCTGCTTCTTGTGAATATGAAATATTAGTTTCTTTAAGCTCATGAAGAAAATCTTCATTTACAATAGAAGGAGGTGTATCATTAGGATTTAAGGATGCCTAGAAAATAAAATTGGGTTCTTTGACTCATTTCTAGAAAATATTTTGAATACCTCTGTTAGGGAGAGTGACTATAAAATGTAAAATATTTTTATATTCAAACTAAGATGGAAGCATAGAAAAATACCCAACAATACACATGGAAACCAACTTTGTGATAGTAAATTACAAATGGTCTAGTTAATCAATTTCTGTAACATAAGTTAGAGAAGTCTTACGTTTTCCTCTTTTGCATCTATAGCCCACCTTTTTCTTATTTCTAAACGCTGCAGTCAAGAACAAGGAAGACAGCAAAGGCTCCAATCTTCAATTTTAGATTCAGGAAACTGGGGGAAAGCTACTTGGCTTTTGCATTATCTACATTTTCACCTGTAGATAAAATGTATCATTTCCTATTCTCCAATTACTACTTTTAAATGAACAGCAAAAGGTCTCAGAATATAAGTAATAAACCCATTTTATAGCACTGCTTTAAAACTCACAACATAATTATAAACTCGATACTTAATTTCAGCTAAAAGGTAACTTGAAAAATAAATCTTCAAATTTAAAGCTATGTTACACTGGGTAAGTCACTCAACTTCTGTCCACCAAATTTATACAGCTGCCAAAAAGAAAGGAAGGTTAAATGTGACAATTTTTGTGAAAAGCTCCTAATATCACCTAGCATATAGGAAGAGATCTATAAATGGCTGCTATAAAAAAAATCTGTTAAAAAAAAACATTATATACTACTTGAAAAAATAAATATGTAAAGAAAAATATATGATATTTACACAGCCTTTTAGTATATTAAGGATCTGTATTTAATATTCAATGACAGTTGTCCCTCTGTATCTGTGGGTTTCACATCCACAGGTTCAATCGATGGATTGAAAAAAAAAAAGAAAAATCCCAGAAAGTTCTAAAAAAGCAAAACTTGAATTTGCCATATGCCAAGCACTATGCTGAATCCATAAATGTGAAGTGATGGGCAGGTACACCCTGTTGTAGCTTATATGCAAAAATAGGTTACAGGGAAACATATACACCATTTTATATAAAAGACTTGAGCACCCACAGATTCTGGTGTCTGTGGGGGGTCTTGGAGCCAATTGCCTTCAGATTATTATATATTTATATAATAAGTATTTATTTAGTGCATAGTATAAGCCAGGCATTGTTCTAGGCTCTAGAGAGACAGTGGTGAATTAAACAGGAAAAAAAAATCTTGACCTCATGGAATCTACCCTACAGAATAGTGGAAGGAAATGACCAAAAGAACCCCAACAAAACATACAGATTACTATTTTGTTAAATAATTGAAAATTGTAAAGGGCTCAAAAAGAGAAAAAAGGATGTGCATTTAAAATTAGTGAAATTTGGGGCCGGCCGAGTGGCTCAGATGGTTAAGAGCATGAGCTCTGAGCTACAGGGTTGCTGGTTCGATTCCCACATGGGCCAGTGAGCTGCGTCCAAGTTGAGGTGCCACTGAGCTGCCAACAGGTGGCAGGATAGCTCAGCTAGTGAGAGCACGTGCTCCTAAAAAGGTTGCCAGTTTGACTCCCGCATGGGATGGTGGACTACGCCCACCCACGACTAAGTTTGAACACAGCACCTTGAGCTGAGCGGCTACGAGCTGCCTATGGGCGGTCAGATGGTGACTGGATTTGGAGCTGAGCTAGCTGCGCCCTCCACAACTAAGGCTGAAAGACAACAACTTGGCTGCTCCCCTTCCCCAATTCCCCAATAAAATCTTAAAAACCAAAAAAAACTGGTGAAATTTCTGAATATGGTATGTAGATTGCATCAATGTCAAAAAATAATTACAAATAGTCAAGAGAGAATTAAGAAGAAAAAAGGGATCTTTCAAAAAATATTAAAAGCATTTAGTTTCAGGGGTACAGGAATTAGTTGTTTAGCCTAACTTAATTACTAGAGTAAAATGTAGCTGTGGATTTATAAATAAACCAAACAAGTACTCACTGAATACCTACAGTCTTTAATAACATGTTGGATATAGTGGAGAATATAGTGTTAGCCATGGACCCTGTACTTATGGAACTTACATCCAGTTACAGGGACATGCCATAGCGAACAATAATAATAAATAAAAAAATCATTACAGGGCCGGCCGAGTGGCTCAGTTGGTTAACAGTTGGCTTAAGAGTGCAAGCTCTGGGGCTGGCCGAGTGGTACGATGGTTAAGAACTGGCTTGGGACGCCAGAGGGCCCCGGTTCGGATCCCACATATGAGGGCCAGTGACACTGCCCTCTACAGCTAAGATGCTGAACAATAGCTCAACCTGGAGCTGGGCTGCTGTGAGTCGCCAGTGACGGCATAGGCTGCAGCCCCTGTGGCAGTGGGTTGCCATGGGCTACCGTGTGTAGCCAGCAGCCAGCGTGAGCGGCCAGCAGCCGCAGTGAGCGGCCGTCCAGAAGCCGGCGACTGATCTGCCTCGCCCGGGAAGAGTGCAATGATGGTGCCAACTTGGGCCAGTGAAGCAACGTCCTCCACAACTAGACTGAAGAACAAAAGGACAACAACTTGTCTGTTCCCCTTCCTCCAACTCCCCAGCACTGTTCCTATCCCCCCAATTCCTCAATTAAAAAAAAAATCTTTTAAAAAAAAAAAAAAGAGCACGAGCTCTGAGCAACAGGGCTGCCGGTTCAATTCCCACATGGGCCAGTGATGCTGCGCCCAAGCTGAGGTGTTGCTGAGCTGCCAACAGGTGGCAGGATGGCTCAGCTGGTGTACCAACAAGATTGCCTGTTCGATGGTGGGCTACGCCCACCCACAACTAAGACTGAACTCGGCACCTTGAGCTGAGCTGCCGCCCAGATGGCTCAGTGGATAGAGCATGCACTCTTAACAACAAGGTTGCTGGTTCGACTTCCACATGAAATGGTAGCTACGCCCACCCGCAACTAAGATTGAATACAGCACCTTGAGCTTAGAGGCCACAAGCTGCCCACAGGAAGCCAGATGACGAGTGGATCCCTCCACAACTAAGACTGAAGGACAACAACTTGTCTGTTCCCTTTCCCCAATTCCCCAACACGAATGTTCCCTCCCCCTATTCCCCAATAAAATCTTTAAAAAAAAATCATAATAATATAAGTATTAACAATTTCATTAGTTTGATATATATATACAGTTTAAAGTTTTCTAATCCCAGTTTCAGAAAAGTGAAACTACACCCTAACAAGGCCAATATAACATCTCCTTTTTGTTTTTTTGTTTTTTTTTAGCTGAACTATCCTGCCACCTGTTGGTAGCTCAGCTCAGGCCAGGAATCGAACGGCTGTTGCTCAGAGCTCACACTCTTGAGCGAGCTCTTAACCAACTGAGCCACTCGGCTGGCCCCCAATATAACTTAACAAGAAAAAAAATGACAAGTTACAAAGATAAGTCTAATTAATTTGAGATTAAACACATACACACACACACACACACACACACACACTCATAAGTATATTAGTAATCATTCTTATTTACTTACTTTAGAGGTAGTTTTATGCTCCAGGCTTACTCCAAGGGTATTTTGGATCCATTCTTTAAAAGTTGGTAAAATCATGCCACTAAGAGGGTACCTAAGGTACAAAGAAAATAAAACATTAGAGTGAGGTATCTTCACTTAAATTTAAATTTTAGATTCAGTTTTCTGTAATTCTGCTCCTATCAAAGCAACCCTCTAATTAAAAACTCTGGACAAAACGCAAAACAAACTAAACCCAATTATTTGAAGGTAGTATAGACAGGACAAAAGCAAGCAAAAATGGACTGTGTTACATTTGGAAGAAGGAAACAGCACTACATGAGTTTCTAGTTTTGTTTTGTTTTTACACAGATTTTAGCCTGAGGGAGAGCCCTAGCTGGTACCACAAAAAGAAACAAAAAGTAGAAAACCTACAGTCTTCCTGGCTTGAAGGACCAAAGGACAGTGTTTGCAGCAAGCACAGCACCTAGAAAGAGTATACAGGGAAATCACGGAAAAGGAGAGTCAGAGAGGGACCTATGTATAAACTCTGTCCAAATGTCTGGCTGACCTGGAATTACACATCAATGGAGCAGATGCTAAGCAGCCCACCTAAACTTAAAAGAACTGAACAGATAACTCAGCTGCTCACCAACCCAGAGGGAAATTGAGAGTTTGAGATCAGTCAAGCTAAATGCTTGGATGGGGGTTGGGGGGGGGTGCTCTTCAGAAGACTATGACAGAATCCAGAGTCTCTACAATCTATCATTAACAATGTCCAAGATATACTCCAAAATTACTAGACAGGAACAAACAAGAAAGTGTGATCCATAATCAAGAGAAAGGGTAATTACTAGGGACTTACCCCAAGATGATCCAATATATTGCAAATAGCACACAAATATTTTAAGGCAGTTATTAACCATTAAAGGACAAAAGGGAAAATATGTTCCCAGTGAGTAACAGAAAAGAAATCTCACCAAAGAAATAGAAACTTATTAAAAAGAACAAAGTATAAATTCTATAATTAAAACTGTGAAATAAAAAGTAACTGGAAGAACTTCAGAGAAGATTGGAGACTTTGTGAATTTAACGAATTCAGCAATAAAACATCTACAACCTGAAGAACAAAGAAAAAGTTTGAAAAAATAAATAGAGCTTCAGGGAACCTATGGAACAACAACAAAATACCATACACATAAATGTAGTCCCAAGAAGGAGAGAAAAGGGTCAGCCGTGTGGCACGTTAAGAGTTGGCTTGGGAGTGCGGGCTCTGAGCAGCAGGGCTGCAGTTCAGATCCCACGTAAGGGCCAGTGATACTGCGCCCTCTACAGCTAAGATGGTGAACAACAGCTCGACCTGGAGCTGGGCTGGGTGAGTCGCCAGCGACGGTGTAGGCTGCAGCAGGGCTGCAGTGGGCTGCCATGAGCTACCGTGAGTGGCTGGTAGCCAGGGTGAGTGGCTGGTAGCTGGCATGAGCTGCCATGAGCGGCCGTCCAGTGGCTGGCGACTGATTGCCTCAGCCGGGGAAGAGTGCAATGATAACACCAACATGGGCCAGTGAAGCGACATCCTCCACACTAGACTGAAGAACAAAAGGACAGCAACTTGTCTGTTCCCCTTCCCCGGTTCCCCAATAAAAAATATTAAAAAAAAAAAAGGGAATGTTTGAAAGAAGAAATAATAGCTGCAAGTTTCTAAATTTTATGAAAGACAAAAATTTACACATTCAAGTTCACAGAACTAAAAATAAATAAATAGAAAAAACTCACACTAGGCACAATGTAGTCAAATTGTAATTAGAGAAAGAGAGGGTAAAAGGAAATCTGAAAAGCATCTGGAGAAAAATGATACATCATATTAAATGTGTTAACAATAAAAATTATGACTGACTTCTCATCAGAAACAATGAAGTCAGGAAACAACTGAACAACATTTTTAAGGTGCTGAAAAGAAAAAAATATCAACCTAGAAATCTACATTTGGTGAAAATATCCTTTAAAACATAAAATGAAATAAAGAAATTTTCAGATGAAAACTAAGAGAACTTGAGAACTTAATGCCAGCAAACCTACACTACAAGAAATTGCTAAAGGAATTTCTACAGGCTGAAGGGAAACATAACACTAAGTGTAAACTCAAATCTTCAAGATGGAATAAATAATATCACAAGAGTAAATATACGGGTAAATATAAATGACTTTTCCTTAATTTCTTTAAAATATACATACTGTTTTAAAAATGATAACATTGTATTATGGAGTTGATGATGTGACAATTGTAATAAGAACAAGGAAAAGAAAATAAACCTGTAGGTGTGCAAGGTTCTTAGATTTTACATGAAGTGGTGCAATACATTTAAAACACAAAAAAGAGCATTACAGAGTGGGTACAGTATGAAGAAACTAGATTTGCTACTCAGATTTTGTTTCCTACATCTTTCATCCCAATCCCTATTTATATAGTTTATATAAAACATCAACATTACTTGATATATACAGAAAATCCTAAATTTTATATAAGAAGATTGATGCAGAAAACTCAAGTGCTTAGAGATCCAACTTTTCAGTTTTGGAAAATACTTCTCAGAGGTGGCAAAAATGAATTCACAAAAATCTGAAAAACATTAAAGAAAGCCTACTTAATAATCATAAAGTCTAGCATACTGCTAAGTGCTCCAAAAATCTCATAAAATATCACCAAGTAAAAGTGAAAACTTTGAAGTTAAAAAAGTAAATGGACAAAAAAGAAACATTATAAGACAAGTTCAAGGAATCAGAGGTATTTAACTTAAGAAACAGCTATGGAAACTTGATTATTATAGTAATATATCTGAATTTATATCTAGAACTATAAACAAGCATTTATTTAACACTCAGAAGACTATACTATGCATTGCAGGACACAATGAATTGGTATTATATGACTCCTGTTTTTAAGAAATATACAACCTAGTTTAGTCATAGCTGCAAAGGAATTTAATTTTAGGGTGAACATATAGACAAGAAACATGCAAATTTTACCAGAAATGTGGTACGAGGAAAGCCACGTGCCTATCCCAATTGTTGAAACAGGCTGACTACTGAATGGGTCTTTACCATGACTGAGGATTAGACTGAGAACTTTAAGAAAAGGTCTTTTTGTAAAATATAACGTGAGATCAAATTAACATCTTTCCTTAGAACCAAGGTAGAATATACCGTAGAAGATACAGAACCAGAACAAGCTTTCAAGACCACTGAAATCACTCTACACAGAAAGAAACTCCGCGGACATAAATATCCAAGGAAGAAGTGCACATCTGGATTTATGGTGACTAAAAACAAATATTAAACAGCATTAAGTAAGAGATAAAGAGATAAAGTAGGTATCCTACCCTAGATTAGTGTAGTGAAGAAGGCTGATATGCAAACAGTAATAACCAAATGTGTAATAATACAGTAACATAATAGCTCTTTGAAAAGACCAAAACAAATTTTAAAATGTTTTAAAACAGTACTTTTAAATTTTTATTAAGTAAACACATTGCATTATCATGTGCCAGGCACTGTTCTAAGCATTTTACACATATTAAATGAAAATAATGTTATGAGCTTGGTACTATTACCATCTTTTTATAGATGAGAAAGCTAAGGCACCGAAAAGTTAAGTAACTTAAGAAATTAAGTAGGTTCAATAACTTACTCAAGGTCACAGAACTAGTACATTACAAAACTAGCACCTGCTCCAGGTAATTAATAAGGTTTCAGTCTGTGCTCTTAACCACTAATATGATGCTGCCTCTGGTCTGATTCTTCCCTTACCACCATTCCAGGTGAGGTTGTACATCTAAAATCTTTACGAATGATAGTTATAAAATCATAGTAGCTATATTCAGTAATTTTTTTCACTATAATAAAATATTTATAAAATCAAAAATAAAATCTCTAATATAATATAGTTTTCTTTGGCTGTCCCATTATCATTTTTGGTGGGGAGTGGGGGGAAGTAGAGAAGATGCAAGAAAGAACACTCACTCTGGGGCAATGCGCAGAGGCAGTAAAATATTAGTAGACGCAACCATCTATTCTCAGAGTGAGTTCCACAATTGCTAAGCAATTTAATACCCTTTTCATAAATGAAGATAAAACTTTAATGAAAAATTATGCCACTGAAAATACAAAGTGTAACAAACTCAAACAAATTCTTTCCATTTAAACATTAACGTGTGCTTTGTAAGCATCGATTAAGGTACAATTAATGTACAATACCTTTAAAGTCAAAGAATGACGCTTTTCAAAAATTTTAGTTTACAGAAATCTATAGCATTAACTCTGAAGTATTGCCATCTGCTGCTTAAAACCAAAAGGACTAAATTCATCTATATCTAGAAGGAATAACAATGACAAGATTTATATGTCTAGGGGTTTATAAACAAATTACAAATGTGTTCAGAAGGTAGACTAAACTTCTGATTTTCCCCTAAGATCTATAACAGCTGGTAAATCATTGCTTCTAATTTAATGGCTAGGTTTGAAATGTCAAAGTTACCCTCCCAAAAATATATACAATCAACCACATTGTAAAAATTATAAATTTTATAAAAATCTTATAAAAAACCTTATAAAAATTCCCTACCCTTTCAATGTTCTTTGGATCAGAAATAAGGGAAACCCCCCATAAATTTTCACAGAATCACTCTTCGTTTCTGGGACCTGGCGGTTTCCCTTTCTTGCCAGCTCTTCTATTTCTTTCTTGTGGTATTCTATCCACCTTTTCTATGTGGTTATTGAGAGCAAAGGGGCTGTATTTGTTTAGTCCACTACAAAGCCGGAACAGAAAGTCTTTACAAAAAGTTCCAAAAATTGTCCTTATAATCTAGTATTAATACAAAAGGGTATACCGTTGAGCAAAATCAATATGTTCTTGTACTCATCCTTTCTAGCCACAAATTCCATTTTCTCTTTCAGGAATATATATCACGACCTTCTTATATTCCTGCCCTTTGCCTTTCACTGGAACAATAGGAATTGTTCATTTTCTACAATATGCCTAACTGTACTGTGCTGGTGTATAGAGTGCAGAAATGCTCCAAGAGTTTGGAGAGAGAGCAAGACGGATACAATGCATGATCTGCAGAAGTACCTCAGAAGCACAGCATAACAAAAACAGCCTGAGAATCAAGCTTAACAACACTTGGTTTTTAATCCCAGGTTCCCACTGAGCAGGTGGCCTCAAGTAAGCTATTTAACCTTTCTCATCCTCAATCTCCTAATTATTTTTAAGAAAACACCACTATCCATCCTAGGGTTATTTTAAGATAATTCAGTAGGGAGTCAGTAACTAATAGCTGTTAGTATCTTAAAGAATTTTGTACATGTTTTCTCATTAGAAAAAAAAAATCTGCTAATTCAATTAGGAAACTAGACTAGATAGAGAGAAAACTATGATCCGTTTCCATCAGTTTATCCTATCTGATAAAGTAATTGTGCTTCTGGAAGCACCAAAATGGGAACTGAATATTAGTGAATATTTAGTTCTAGTTATTAAATTGTTTATGTCGTATATATTTAATCTGAGAGCTTCTAACTTCCATTTCTGTGTTTGGAGCATCACCTCTGGATGAATACTAGTGGAAACCAAGGGCTGCCTTCCACTACATCAAACGTGCCTGGCATCCACCTTCCTGGTCTCCCTTGCAGGCTCTGCCAGGCAGATACACCGCCCCCTTTCCCCTGCCCTCCACCCTGTTCTTACCCTATTTCCCCCACTGGACTTGAGCTCAGGAGTCAACCACACAAAGAAATGAGGTCTTTAAGGAATCCATTCAGGTTAGAACCAATGTCTGATGCCAACAGATAAATTCTGTGGTTCTATTCCAACCTGGATAAAAATCTCTCTCAAGATCACTGAATCCCCTCTGCTTTTGAATTTATGCTCTACAAACAATATCTGAATAACAAATTTTGCTTTCTACATATCTTAGTATCAAGAAGGGCATTAACAAGTGTCCTATATACTGAAAAAGGAATAATCTAAACATAAATGAATATACAGGGGTTCTAATTTTTTAAAATAAGCATCTTATGTGTGTAGCACATGTGTCAAGACCCCTACAACCTGATCCTCTCTGGGAACACTGCCAAGTCAAGTGCCAGAGCACCCAAAATAAGAACCAGATTAGGCCCTTATGACACCACTAAGGTGTAATTACTCGTGCTATTTTCTGTGACTAATCATTTCACACACATACACTTCTAACATAAATCAGTACGTAGCCTACAGTACTCTACAGAAGACTGCAGATGTCTTATGCTTTCAGTGGCACTGTGCTGAAAAGTACAAGTTGACTATTTGCCCCCTTCCACAAGACAAAGATGCTATACCTTCAAGGCCCAGAGAGAGAGAAAGAGAGAAATAAAGACGGTGTCTGAGAGGAGAGGAGAGTAGTTTTCTAAGTTCAGAAGATTCACTTCCCCCCTCCCCAGAGGATTTTGTAAAGCCAATCTCTACATAGACGAGTTTCTACTGTATTAGGCATTATTCTGTTTAAAACATAAAACACTCAACATTTAGAACACTGGTACACTGAATTTTAATCAGAAATTCCTTCTATCTGAATTACACAATTTATCAACTAAGCTTCCACCAACATGCTGCTCAGTCACACTTAAGGGTAGGACTAAGAAGGCAGATAAAATTTAGTTTTCCTATTAAAAAGCTTATGTCAAATGTATCTTCTAACCTTTATTAAAATTAGTTCCTAATTACTAGTGAATGTGGACTGGATAATCAGGTATAAAATTTCTGTTGTTTTAGGTATAATAATGGTATTATATGTTTGGTTATATCCTCACTTTTTTAAGGGACACATGTAAATATTTAGACATGACACAAAAATGTCAGAATTTGAAATACTATAGAAAAAAACCAATTATGGCAAAACACTGATAACTTTTAAATTGAGGGAGGAGTCATATTATTCTATTTTTATGTGTGTCTATTATTGAACATGTTATGTTTGTTATTTAGGTTTAAATTTTTTCATAGAAAGAAGAAAAAAAAGGAACAAAAGAAAAAATAAACAAACCAGAGTTACCTTTTCCCAGTCAATTCAATTTGGCCTTTCTTATTGAAGAAGAACTTGGAATCATTATATCCCCATCCATTCCATTTCATAACTTCTTGCCTAATAAGAAAAAAATACATAAATGAGATGTATGCTAAAAATCTCAAAACTGAACAGTTTATCATTGACTATTCACCTCCACAATCATTTAAAGCAAGACCATATCCCACTAATATCGTATTTGTTTAAATAAAATAAATATATATCAAAATGTCTAGGTATTAATATTGCCAAGTACAGAATCACTCTAATGAGCAGCACCTGCTTCACAAAGGGCTGTACCACTAAATTTAACACATTCAAAGAAAAAGGAAGAACAAAGAACAAAGAAAAAAATAAGCTTAGAGTAAAATAACATTTTGTACATGTTACTGAGTTTATATTATAGGATGATCTAAAAAAATTGCAATTAAAATAAATTTACCGGAACAGGAAACAAATTTTTGCATATATTAGAAAAATCACAAGAATTCATCTTCTGCTATAATGAAAAAGACCAATTTACAAAGTAGGTTCACTAGTAATGACACCGCTAGTATTAGACACTTTTAATAAAGTAAATTAAAAATCTGAGTGCTGGGTTTACAAACATTCTAAATCCTTCAATTTCCATGTAACTACCAATCTCTACCTTGACCTACATATTAACATTAACATAACAATTAATGACTATACCAGTTTTCAGTATTTCAAAACAATATGGTATTTTTAATTTCCAAAAAGTCAGTATTTCATTCAATTTTGCACATTGCATAAGAATAGATAGGTCTGGGCCTGTGCAGAACACCATAAGTTACCACGTTTAAGTGTGTCAGATTTTATTACATGTTTTAGCACAGTGCTCTAATATATATGGGTTACCGAAATAAAGTGGTGAATCTTCTTAATGCAAACTGTTCTCTATACATAAACTTATTTACCACATTAAAATTTCAAAATACATCACAAGAAAAAAAATGTGTGTAACAATGCGTGGTAATGGATGTTCACTAGGCTTATCGTGGTGATCATTTCACAATATACACAAATATCAAATCATTATGTTGTACACCTGAAATATAATGTTACATGTCAATTATATCTCAATTTTTTTAAAAATTTCAAAATAAACAAAGGTGTACATACTATTAGAAGGCATTCTAATTCTCCATAATTGTCAAGGAAGAAGAAAATGACAACTGACGAGCAAATTTTTTATTACAATCATAATTCTTTATCTAGTTCAAAGACTTTTCAAATAAGTGAAACACTGCCACAATGCAATTGAACCAAATATAGATCATTAATTGTGTACTGCAATCTCCATCTATATCTAAAATTAAGAAAAAAACTAGGAATACTCTCTTTAAAATTACAGTTTGCTATCAATAAAAACTATAATCCCAGAACAAAACAAACCGTTCAAAAATATCTCGAGTATCAATCCAGAGATTAGATTTGTAGGTGAGCTTATTACAAACTATTGACCAATGTTTTCTTGTAATTTCATATTCCTACTTCACTGTAGAGGGAGGTTTTGGAAGAAACCTCTTGAAAAAGTCTCTGCAGGTAAAGCTCATGACCAATCTCACCACTAACACACTCATTTTCTGATCACACTTTCTAAAAACAAATTAGGTTTTTTTTTCATAATTATATCCTCTTCACTTTTATGAAGTATAATTTACTTAGTATTTCATTTTTGTTAGATTTCCATAATTTACTTAAAGAATATGTACATTTTAATGTCTTTACTTAATGTTTTGTAATATGTACATAAATTTTTGTATGTGAAATGCATTTTATTAATGAATATAAACATTTATCATAAAGTCTGTACTCTACAAAATAATAGTTTGGCATTATTATACAAATAAATGCACAAGTACCAACATAGTCATTTTGCTTTGGTATTACTATCCTATGCACTGGGAAATTATTTCAGTACAGATGTTATACTTGGCATGTTTATACAGCTTAACGATAAAAATCATTTTTCTTAAAATTATGTCTAGAATTTAAAAAAACTATTCCCAGAGGGGCTCAAAGTAAAAAGCTAAACCTGATTCCATGTGTTTATTCTTAGCGCTTCACGAGAAACATGAATCAAGATAAGCAGGATATATCTGCAACTGTACACTAAAAATATGAAGATATTTACATACCGAAGAAACTTCGGCCTTAAATTTTCAGTTGGGTAATAGCCTAAAGAACTTGCAAGTTTTTAACTAGGGGCCAAAATACCTTTTCTCTCTTTTCACGTCAGTCTGAAAATTCTGCCTATTATTATGGGCCTTATCATAGTTATATGAACTTCTGGAGCCTTCCCAAAGTTAAAAGGTAGTCATTTGGAATGCATTTGTTATGTTGCAAATATCCACATCCCTATCCAAACCAAACATTGTTCTGCACAAAAAATATGGAGCTCACTGCCTCAAGAGGGAAAGGAGGAGAGGGAAGAAAGTAGGAGCGAAGAGGAAAGGCATCTTCCAAACTTGGGAAATACTTCTCACTATCAATTTAGACTGTATCGCCCCTGAAGATCAATGTGGCTACTGGTGAGCCAAACACTATTCTGCACACAAAAAATGTGCACATATACAATTAAAATTAAAATCTATACAAATAAAAAATGTGCACATATACAATTAAAATCTAGGTCACTCCAAAACCAATCTTGAAGTTCCCCATGCGTTAAACAAAAAGTAGGCAAATTTCCTAGGCTTCTGATTTTAAACTTTTATACACACGTATCCCGTCAAATTATTATATTCCATGACAGTTAAAAACAACTATGTGATTACATTAAACTTTAAAATAACTTCTTATAAAGAGTATAATGAGTACACTGAAGGGTATTATAGCATTAAAATTTTTAAAATTAGAGTAAAACTTTACACAGTCATAGAATTCTAAAGCTAAAAAGGTTCTTAGAAAAACCCAGTTCAACTGCTCATTTTTCAGATGAAGAAACTTGTGCCCAGAGAAGCGTTCATGATTACAAGGCTAAGCTAGCTGGACCATCAGAAAGCAAATTCCCAGTCTCATGATGCTTCTCGTTTAAAGAGATAATATCTGAAATTCCATGTCCTCAGGTAACCAAAATGATTTAAAGGAACCCTTTTTTCATCACATCAATATTTTTCAAAGCACTATTACATGTCATTATTACAGTTATTCTTCTGAACTTAACCTAAAGAAAACACTTAAAAATCAAAGAATATGGTTGTGTTGGTAAGCCCAGTGCCCTATACTTCCTTCACCTACAGTATAATGAATTCTGCCATTCAGAATAATGATCCCAAAGCACTGAACGGAAGAATCATAAAAGAATCGCCAACTATCTATATGATTCAAATAAAAGGATTCAATTCTCAACTAACCCCAGATATCAATTAGCCAGATTGATACCTCCGACTTTCCAGTTCTTAAAGCTAACTATACCAAATTCAATGTCTTCAAAATTCAAGACCCCTCCTCCTGGCAAGAAAAAAGAGAATTTGGCTTGACTGCACTACATGAAAAAAAAACAACAGCGTTTAACACATTTACACATCTGAACACAGTACTAAAAAACACATTGCATTAGGGGCCTAACAAAAGAAAATGGGAGACATAAACTAGCACCACATATACACAAGGTGGCACTGTTCTCCCATGATACATATACACGTCTTCAGTATTCTGCCTTTCCCAGGGCTGCTGTTTGCACCATTTTTAACTGAACTATTTAGATTTAGAATTACTATTACTATGAAAACCATAAATAGTTCCTTTGTTTATTCTCAAAATGGGAAATTTTCACTTTTAAGTCTCTGCACATACATAATTATTCCTCTAATAATGAATTGCAAGCGTCCTGATAAAAATGCATGATATTCACCATTATTTGTAATCATGATATTTTTCATTAAAAAGAAAAAGGAAATATGCTTTAACCTACTTTTATTTTGAATTAGCAATAAAAAGTTCAGCTAACTGATAACTTTAAAAAAAGGATTTTTTTTCCAATAGTCAAAATTCAAATAAAAAATGTTCAGTTCAGATGAAAATCTGAACAAAAGATTTTCACTTATTTTTTCCAACTTAAACAATGAGAAAAAGATAGTATAATCTCAGAGCTTTTGAAACATAAGAATTAAAGTATGAAACTTAAGATCCAAAGCTGTATTTTTAACTAGCCATGCTCAGTATCAGTTAAATTCAAATCAATTCTGTAAGTAGTACAACATGTAGAAGTTAACAATAAAAAATATTTCAAGGACTTTTTTTGTGCTAGTTAAAATCCTTATTATCTGGTTGTGTGTCTAATTATTTCAAGATCCAGATAACCTAAACAAATTCATGTAAGTGAAGCAAAAAAGAAAAGCGATGAGAAAGATACCAAGATTTGATCAGTAAAACAGATATATCCTTGAAAAGCTATGCTACAGAAAATTCCTATAAATGAAATAATATTCTTACTGGCTTTCTTTTCTTTTAATTGAAACTCAGTTCTCATTAGAAATATAAAGAAAGGCCCAATGAATACTGTTTAATTCTAAATTTAATTTAAATTGCATATGCTTTAAAATAAATTCAAAACAATGTTCCTGTCTAGTCTACAAGTCCTACAAAATTATTTCTAAAAACTCAATACCAAATTCCCATAAAACTAATTACAATGCTTACTGCCTCAATCTAACAGTGCAACTAATTTCCTTTCAAATACTTTAGTTAATCTAAACAGCTTAGTTATAAGTGCAATAATTTATGTGTCCTATAACAGAAAGCCTGTTTATAAAAAAATAGAAAAAAATCAAAAGACATGGATAGGTTATCACCACTTAATTAACACTGCTACAAATTTCATGGTTCCAAGATTGTTAAAACATCTGACTTAGAAAATAGATAAATACCATCAGGTTTTGATAGCTTGACACCATGAAACATCTGAAATCATAGAATATTTCCTCTTGCCCTGATTAAAATTCACCAAGCTACCTCTTCTAATTATACTTTATTCCCTACAGAAAAAAACTGGCCAATTGAAATGGCCAGGGGGCTTGACAATTTTTTCTCATCATGAATTAGTCTAGTGG